CAGATGACATAGTTCATACACTGTCGACGATTTTTCGGTAGTTAGTCTACCTACCCCTATAGTCAACCATCCCCGGTCTCCCCTACCATTTTGTATTATATAGTCTATAAAGTTCGAATTTTACACTACCTCCCTTCAGGGGGTGTCTTTTGAAGATTTCCCCTCCTCGAGCATAATCTAAACAAAAAAAAAAACATTTTACAGTCAGTACGATACCCTCGCTTTTACTGTTCTCATCTGCCATGTTGTGTCATTAAATAAAGTTATTAAAAGCCTTTTTATTCTCTGTATTTTCGCGCCAGTCAATCCCATCAAAAAAAATGTTTTTGTTAATTAATTAATAATAATTATGATAATTGAAACATTTAAAAGTCTTTAGTTCTACTTTCCTTGTATTATCAAAAAACTTCACAAATGCCAATGATTCTCTGCATTTTTTATTTAAGAAAGATAATTATCGTTTTTAATAAATTTAAGTCTAAACGTGAAATATTCAGGTACAGGAAAAAACAAAAATATAAAAAGAAAAATATATTAAGTTTATTGCAGCTTACAACTATTCTTAAATGTAGCAATCACGTGCACACCTACCCAAAACTGGAGTAAATGTAGCAGGAATTTTTACAAGGCTGAATGGAAGTTACGACATTTAAGGTTTCTATTTTTTAATCTCTGCATGTCTTCGGTTTCTTTTTCAGCAAAAATAATTACCGTTTTTGATAAATGTCTACACGAGAAACATTCATGTTCAGGAAAAAAAGATATAAAATGATAAATGTATCAAATTTATTTATTCTTAAATGTAGTTATCACGTGCATAATTACCCGTAATTGGGGTAAATATATTGCTGTTGGTAAGTTGGTCGAAGATATTGCTGTTGGTAAGTTGGTCGAAGAGAGGGTTGTTGGTAGGCTGGTCGAACAGAGGGTTGTTGGTAGTTTGGTCGAAGAGAGGGTCGCGCGTAGGGCATCATAACGTTTGATGGTATAAAATCGTTATTAGGTACTTTAAAGAAGTCCATATTGAATGGATCATCTGGCCTTGAACTCTTTTTGCTATTATCAGTATCGTCGGTAAAAAAACTATCTTCGTCGGTATTAAAATCAGGGAAACGTTCATTAAACCCATTCGTTCCAGTGTCGAAAGAGCTAGAAGAGTACCCAGATTCAGATTTGTAAAAGACTTTACTTTTTTTGGTTTTTCCGCCATCCTCGTATTCTTCTTCAAACATCCCTCTAACTAAGGGGCTATTGTCTCCACCTTCCACTTCATTTATTCTTCTTATTTTTATGAATCCTCCTGGTCCTGAAAATTTGGATGCATAACCATGACGTGGGGAATATGCAACAGGATAATCGGCATTGTTTTTTAAAACACTGCCATCGGCAGGAAAAGTCAACACACTGCAATCACTAAGAAGAAACCAGCAGGCTATTGCTTTCAGTATGGTTCCAAACCACATCTGAAAACATGAAGAAAATTTTCAGGTTTCGCGGCTACATACTAATAAGTTGAAGAACAAGGTTCTCAGGTTCTCTAGTGCATCGATTATTGAATTTGTTTTACATTCGATAAGAAGATAACAAATTATTACTGAAACGTCAAATCTGTAACAGACGTGGTTTAAAACTTCTGTCTTTGAGCAATCAATACGCCAGTCATAAAAGAAATATTTGATACAAACGCANCAAGGCTGAATGGAAGTTACGACATTTAAGGTTTCTATTTTTTAATCTCTGCATGTCTTCGGTTTCTTTTTCAGCAAAAATAATTACCGTTTTTGATAAATGTCTACACGAGAAACATTCATGTTCAGGAAAAAAAGATATAAAATGATAAATATATCAAATTTATTTATTCTTAAATGTAGTTATCACGTGCATAATTACCCGTAATTGGGGTAAATATATTGCTGTTGGTAAGTTGGTCGAAGAGAGGGTTGTTGGTAGGCTGGTCGAACAGAGGGTTGTTGGTAGTTTGGTCGAAGAGAGGGTCGCGCGTAGGGCATCATAACGTTTGATGGTATAAAATCGTTATTAGGTACTTTAAAGAAGTCCATATTGAATGGATCATCTGGCCTTGAACTCTTTTTGCTATTATCAATATCGTCGGTAAAAAAACTATCTTCGTCGGTATTAAAATCAGGGAAACGTTCATTAAACCCATTCGTTCCAGTGTCGAAAGAGCTAGAAGAGTACCCAGATTCAGATTTGTAAAAGACTTTACTTTTTTTGGTTTTTCCGCCATCCTCGTATTCTTCTTCAAACATCCCTCTAACTAAGGGGCTATTGTCTCCACCTTCCACTTCATTTATTCTTCTTATTTTTATGAATCCTCCTGGTCCTGAAAATTTGGATGCATAACCATGACGTGGGGAATATGCAACAGGATAATCGGCATTGTTTTTTAAAACACTGCCATCGGCAGGAAAAGTCAACACACTGCAATCACTAAGAAGAAACCAGCAGGCTATTGCTTTCAGTATGGTTCCAAACCACATCTGAAAACATGAAGAATATTTTCAGGTTTCGCGGCTACATACTAATAAGTTGAAGAACAAGGTTCTCAGGTTCTCTAGTGCATCGATTATTGAATTTGTTTTACATTCGATAAGAAGATAACAAATTATTAGTGAAACGTCAAGTCTGTAACAGACGTGGTTTAAAACTTCTGTCTTTGAGAAATCAATACGCCAGTCATAAAAGAAATATTTGATATAAACGCAAAATTTACATATAAATATTCTGATTGTCAATTGATTTATCATTTACTAGTAGTAAAATGAACTGAAGATGAATATTGCACGGAGAAAATGGAAAAGGAAAGTTTACTTAAATATTGAAGCGATATTAACAGTTTATCCCACTATACCGTTGCTTTGTAAGCGAAAATAATAAAAATTACAATATGGACCAGAATTCGTAAAAATTAAGTTCCAGCTGAAATAAATTTACTAGGTATTTTGGTTGACATTACAAATTTAATTATAATAATTAAGAAACTTTTAAAAACTTTAATTTTTAAAAAAACATGTCAAAATTGAGATTATTACAAGTTATCTAATAAATTCTACTATTTCTACGGTAAATTCAATCATTTACAATCGAAAATTGTAATTTTTGCGTTGTCATAAAAATTTAGTTTTCTCCGTGTGTTGATACCAATTTTGTCCTATTGAAAATTGAAAACTTGGTTTATTTGTTATAGTCAAAGATCGAAACCATTGGTCCTAGTGCTTTTTCAAGTCTCACAAAAAGAGACATACTTGAAGTTGAAACCAGTTGTCTGTTTCTACCGATTAATTGTCCATTCCTAGGAGAGATTGACTTGTACAGTCAATAGTGAAATTAGAATCTATTACTAGGTTACCGGAAAGGCTTTGGTCAAACCTATGATAGAAAGTCATTCCGCAAAAGAGCTCTACGTATCAACCATTGACTATAACATGTGCAAGAATCATTTTCAAGAATAATCTTCAAACATTAATCTGAAATTAATTCAATTTCCACCAACGACAAATTGGCTCAAAATAGAGAATAATTGTTACACTCTCACCGGGAATCGGACCTGGGTCTCTGGCTTTACGCACTAATGCTCTGGTCACTAAGCTACGAGAACTGAATTAACTTCACATTAATGTTTGAAGATTATAAAATATTTTGAAGTGTTTCATCTTCAATATTTCATTTTAACAATATATTCTGATTATATAGAAGACAAAAATTGAATTATCCACTCATGTATTAAGTAGTACTGAGAAAATTTGTCATTTTTACAGAATTAATGTTGTTTTTGAGATTAAACAAATTTCGTCATAATCATTTTGATAACAGTAATTATCTTTCACGTAGGACTCTGGGTTGTTTTATAAACAGCATTATTTTCTGAAATAACCGTCACACAGCCATTAAAAGTTTTTTTAACGCATGAATGATTATTGATACACCCACTGTCGGTTTTGACTTTTACGGTTTCTAATATTTCCAACATAGCTGAACTTAACACTTACATAAAATAATAAACATAATGTTGTTAAAAAAATTATTAATTCGAAAAGAATGTCAAATTTGTTATGAGACTATAAAGACTACAAGATAAAGTTCATTATCATAAGGTCGTCAGTTCTAAGACTGGTTGGACACGCACCTCCACTCTTTACTATCCTGAGCTAAATTTCGCATTTCCCTAAAACTAGACGTTTCTAACCTTTTCTATTCCGCCGCGCCCACTGTCCATGTTTCGCACCCGTACAGCGCCCTGCTCCAAACATACACCTTTAACAACCTTTTTCGAATTTCTAAATTAACCGTTCGCGAGCATAGAAGTGACTTCTTTTTATTGAAGGCGACACGACCCTGCGNTTTCGCATTTCCCTAAAACTAGACGCTTCTAACCTTTTCTTTTCCACCGCGCCCACTGTCCATGTTTCGCACCCGTACAGCGCCCTGCTCCAAGCATACACTTTTAACAACCTTTTTCGAATTTCTAAATTAACCGTTCGCCAACATAGAAGTGACTTCTTTTTATTGAAGGCGAGTCGACCCTGCGCTATCCTATGCTTTATATCCCTACTACTCCTTTCGTCCTGACTTATCTGACTTCCTGTAGATACCTAAAATCGGCCACTTCTAATTTTTCGCCTCCTACCTTTATATTCGCTCTTATGTATTATCAAAAAAAATTCTACAGTTTAATTATCTCTTTTATTTTTTATAGAAGTAAAAGTTTTTATTAATAATCGAATTGCGTCCCACTGCGTCATAACTATAACTAGTAAAAATATGCTAGCGCAAAGTGATATTAACGATTTTAAATATGTTAAAAACTTCTTTCTAATAACTATTGCTACTACTATTGAAGCGTTTTATTCAATGTCGTTTTGCATTATGCAATTGCAATCATAACAATTGTTTTTTTTATTTGAATAAAATTTGCATTGACAAGGGATTTAAACTGCCTACATTTACATATATTTATAATTAATGACATTAGCTAACACTGCAATAAAAATCTTTTAAAGACTTACCCTTATTTAAAAGATGTTAACTAGTGTACTTGATACGTACAACTAAAAATTTTTTGGATTACTTTAACTGATAAACACTAAACAGCAATATTTGTGGGTGATGTATGTAGGTATTGCATTGACGAATTTATTTTAATGGTGAATTATATCATGTGTTTGTGTTTATCAAAAACTCGGCTATTTAAAAGACCCAGTTCTTTTGGGAAAAACATAAATATGATATCATATTTGAGATATGACATTCTTACTTCGGAAAGTCTGAATTGAGAGGGAGGAGGGTTGTTGTTGGTGCTAAGATTAATAAATTAGATCACCGTCCTAAAAACGAGCTCTCTCAACTAAGCAAAAAGAAGAAAAAATAGCCGATCAATTTTGGGAACGCGACATTACAAACCCTTTTATTTAAATTATAGTTACAATAACCCCTTTGCACTATTTTCCCAATGATAATATTAATATTTCTTCCATTAAAAGCTGTCAAAAAGAGGTAAAACGTTCTATATTTGGTACGTAATCTCCAACCGACGGTTCACCTTTTTCGTTCAACACCGTCACCACTTTTTGTCTGATTTTTATTGACAAAATATGTATATAAGAACAAAGGCTTTCACGGCCGGAAACCACAGTAGAATGAAGATTCGGGCTATAGGGCCGTGGTTTAAGTGAACTGTTCCGTCCAGACGTTTCGTCAGCTACTGCGGCTGACATCTTCAGTGGTACTGCTGCGTTGACAACGTGAACGTAGATTATATCTCAAACTCTCGACAGCGACTAAATATTTATATTTAGCATACTGTTCGAAAAATCCTGTATTGTACTGCAAATAAAACAGTAGATAAAGAATCTACCCAGCATTTGTTTATATACGGACGTGTAACATATTTTCTTGGCGAGCCACCGTTTTGGTTGGTTTTAAAACTTATGTATGTTATGAAATATAACTGTGGTTTTTTAATAAAGATCTAAATAAAAACTAAGGTAGGTAATTGATACAATCAATATGATTCCTGACATTGATTCCGATGTAATAATTTTCTTATGTCGATAGTAACAATATACCACAAATATGTTCAAGATTCAAATTAAGATTTGAAAAAACCTATTCAAAAACATATGTTGATAGAAAACTACTTAATAATTGTATGGCCAGGTCTACTGTCAGGAAAATTTTCTATTGGTACCAATTACAAGAAATTTTAAAATCTCCTGAAGAATTTTGTGGTTTCCAAGATTCTTTTTCGGCAAATACGTTTTTTAATGACTTTGCAGTTCAGTGAGATCAATCTGAATGTTGGCAGGATAAGTAATTACTTCAGACAAACTTATTATGAAGAGATCTACAAAAAGTTGTACATTTTGTTTTTTACTCTCAAAGTCGTTAAATGACACGAAGAGCTTGAATCTATGGCCAAAACATCGTACAAAAATTCTTTTCTTTTGGCGAAAAAGAAGATTTTTTTTCTGATGGAGAAATTGCTAATGTAGCTTTACAGTCATACACACTTTTTCAACTTGACGGAAATTTTTTAAACTTGCTTGCACGGGACATCTAATGTTTGCCTACAGGCATAGGGCTGAACAGTCTTGGCTTGCATGATTTATTGAAACAACGGAAAAACATGGACCATGGTAAGCAGACGTGGAAGCTTGTACCAGCGAAAAATCAAGCCGGCATTCTCTCGAATGTTAAGCTGTGATCTAACTTCCCAATTTAATTTGGCTATGGAACCCCAATCTATCCACCTTTTCCTGACGAAACCCCAAACAATAAAAAAGTAAATTGACAATAATTTCATTTTTACGATCCTTGGCACTTTACTGTTTACACTTTTGGAACTGCTGGGATCCTCCCGTGTCACACCATTTGGGAATAACTGTAATGGTCTGGCCGCTCGGGAAACCCTAGATTTCAAGAAGTAACCAAAACTATGTTTGTTGAGCTTTGGAACCCATCATCGAAGTGACTTCTTTTTATTAAAGGCGACACGACCCTGCGCTATCCTCCCCTTATATCCTTTCTACCTAGTAAAAATATGCTAGCGCAAAGTGATATTAACGATTTTAAATATGTTACAAAACTTCTTTTTAATAACTATTGCTATTACTATTGAAGCGTTTTATTACAATGTCGTTTTGCATTATGCAATTGCAATCATAACAATTGTTTTTTTTATTTGAATAAAATCTGCATTGACAAGGGATTTAAATTGCCTACATTTACATATTTTTATAATTAATGACATTAGCTAACACTGCAATAAAAATCTTTTAAAGACTTACCCTTATTTAAAAGATGTTAACTAGTGTACTTGATACGTACAACTAAAAATTTTTTGGATTACTTTAACTGATAAACACTAAACAGCAATATTTGTGGGTGATGTATGTAGGTATTGCATTGACGAATTTATTTTAATGGTGAATTATATCATGTGTTTGTGTTTATCAAAAACTCGGCTATTTAAAAGACCCAGTTCTTTTGGGAAAAACATAAATATGATATCATATTTGAGATATGACATTCTTACTTCGGAAAGTCTGAATTGAGAGGGAGGAGGGTTGTTGTTGGTGCTAAGATTAATAAATTAGATCACCGTCCTAAAAACGAGCTCTCTCAACTAAGCAAAAAGAAGAAAAAATAGCCGATCAATTTTGGGAACGCGACATTACAAACCCTTTTATTTAAATTATAGTTACAATAACCCCTTTGCACTATTTTCCCAATGATAATATTAATATTTCTTCCATTAAAAGCTGTCAAAAAGAGGTAAAACGTTCTATATTTGGTACGTAATCTCCAACCGACGGTTCACCTTTTTCGTTCAACACCGTCACCACTTTTTGTCTGATTTTTATTGACAAAATATGTATATAAGAACAAAGGCTTTCACGGCCGGAAACCACAGTAGAATGAAGATTCGGGCTATAGGGCCGTGGTTTAAGTGAACTGTTCCGTCCAGACGTTTCGTCAGCTACTGCGGCTGACATCTTCAGTGGTACTGCTGCGTTGACAACGTGAACGTAGATTATATCTCAAACTCTCGACAGCGACTAAATATTTATATTTAGCATACTGTTCGAAAAATCCTGTATTGTACTGCAAATAAAACAGTAGATAAAGAATCTACCCAGCATTTGTTTATATACGGACGTGTAACATATTTTCTTGGCGAGCCACCGTTTTGGTTGGTTTTAAAACTTATGTATGTTATGAAATATAACTGTGGTTTTTTAATAAAGATCTAAATAAAAACTAAGGTAGGTAATTGATACAATCAATATGATTCCTGACATTGATTCCGATGTAATAATTTTCTTATGTCGATAGTAATAATATACCACAAATATGTTCAAGATTCAAATTAAGATTTGAAAAAACCTATTCAAAAACATATGTTGATAGAAAACTACTTAATAATTGTATGGCCAGGTCTACTGTCAGGAAAATTTTCTATTGGTACCAATTACAAGAAATTTTAAAATCTCCTGAAGAATTTTGTGGTTTCCAAGATTCTTTTTCGGTAAATACGTTTTTTAATGACTTTGCAGTTCAGTGAGATCAATCTGAATGTTGGCAGGATAAGTAATTACTTCAGACAAACTTATTATGAAGAGATCTACAAAAAGTTGTACATTTTGTTTTTTACTCTCAAAGTCGTTAAATGACACGAAGAGCTTGAATCTATGGCCAAAACATCGTACAAAAATT